CTCTCCACTGTCGCTACAAGTATGCTTAGTGTGAGGGATTGCCTTCGAGTCAAGAAGTCGATGCAATCAACTTTTTTGCCTTAGAGAGAAAGCTTTGAATCAATTTGACTGTATGATCTGGTGTATTGTGTTTAACATGCATGGAGCAGAGTGTGCAACGACTATGAACTATCAGCAACATCATGACACGTAGTGGTGGAAGCATCATGCTGTGGCCACAATTTGTTCAAAATCTGAGGTTCATAGAAAAATAAGTCCAAAATAAGTCTGTTCCACTGGAACCCTGGTGGAACCCAAAAGCGCTGGCTTTGAAAGAGGGGTTGAAATCTTGCAAGATGTCTTTAATGTATGAAATGATCTTATTACTGGTCAGAAATGAACTACGTAAGCAACTTCTTTGGGTGATCAGAAATCCCTTCAGTCTGTTCCCAGGATGACAACTAAACAAGTGAAGGCTGTGTTTAGTTTCTATCTTTCTCAGTTTCAGAACAAAACGATTGAAAACTTGAGATGTGTGGAAACTGTCAACCCTTCTAAAACAGAACTGAAATCATCAAGAATCGCTGCTGCCGATCCATTGAAATCTAAGTCCTTTCTTCATGCATTTAGTTTCTATTTGCTTAGATATTCTCTTTTCAACGTCTTCTGCGAGTCATGGCTTTTCCCAATGAATGATGCAAGCATGTTTTTTTCTTTACAGAAACCAAATTTAAAGGCATGTTGAAGAAGTAATGGAAATTTAGCACAATACACCAGTAATTATGGTTATAGGATGATGTCCTTTTTTAAACTAATGGACAAGGATATGCTTACCTGTCACACTTTTCTTTATCGGTACACCCATCTTCCACTGCTGCACAGAACAAAAAGATGAATCAGTAGGGATGACACCAACAATGACCAACGTTGGTCACAAATCAACGAAAGGGAGTTATAAGGGGGTTTTTCCTCTCCACTGTCGCTACAAGCGCGCTTGGTCTGAGGGATTGCCTTCGAGTCAACGAGTATATACAATCAGCTGGTTTCATTAGATGGAAAATATGCGCCTGCATCTAAGATCTCTGATATAAGCAGGCAGATAGAAATTCTTCGCTTCGGTTTAAAGTTTTTATAACTGCTTCACAAGCAGTGGGTCAGTTGTTCTCATACATACTGTAATTGACTGTTCCTCTGTTTGAGTAATATCATTAGATCAAGACTTTTCTAACGTTCCACACTACAAAATCAATAATAAAAGTATGTATGATTCATATTGATATCAAATTGGATATAAAAAAGCTGTATCAGGACTCCCCATGATTTAGACCCATTTGTTTGAAAGATCATTACACCGGAGTTTTGTTCGTGGTATAAATGTGCTCAAATAATTCTAAAATGGTAGAGATTAACTGATACATTTTATTTTTTAAGGGCGAGGCCAAATGCTGATCAGTCTAACTGATCCCCGATATCTGCTGCAGATTTTTAGGGGCGGCTGTCTCTTCAAAGAGATGTCGTTTTTTTCTTCCCTCGTTTACAATTTAAAAATGAAACTGTGATAAAAAGTCTTTAGGCTGAAACAATCTCATTAATCCAGATAAATCCATTATTGAAATGATCGTCAACTAATTAAATAATCCATTAATCGTTAAATGGAGTATAAAGAATGTAAAACATGCCTTTAGCTAATAGAGTGACCCAGTTAGAGAATTATATCAAAATATGTACATATTTTGCATTTAAGATTTAATAAAAACTTTTTCGACTGTCAATATGGTCTTTTAAGATCTACTCAAGTGAAAAGTTTTAGTTACACCTAGTTTAATTTCATAACAAAAACTTCTTTGAGGAACCTTTTGCTATCCGATTAATAATCAATTGATCAAAAAAAATAATCGACAGATTAATCAATTTGCAAAATAATCCTTAGTTTCAGCCCCACAATTTTACACAAGTCTGAATTTAAGATAAAAAGAAACCACACATTAGATCTTACAAAACAGGTTACTCACCGGCTGGAGCCTCCATTTCAGGTTCGGTCTTACACACAGCCTTTGTGGCACTGCGGGCAGCCCTGCCAGCTGGAGACCTGGCATTATTCTGGGCTGGGGGTTGCTTGGGGAGGGGCGCTGGGGGGAAATTCAAAAGCCATGAAATATTGGTGCAGAACTGTGGCATAGACACAAAGACATCCATTCTGCTGGAAACCCATGGTACATGCATAGAGTGGCGTTAATTCAACAGCTTGTTGCCTTTAAAAAAAGCATTTATGCTGCTATAGGCTTAGACTGTTGGAGGACATAGGGACTTGTTTTCAAGCTTTTTATCTATATTCTCCCATTCTGCGGTATTTGTTAGTTCAATCTCTAACGTTATGTTCTGGTTTTTCCTCATCACAGAAGCTTCATTCGGTCTGTTCCTGTTTGGCAGTGACACCATCCTGGTGAGAAATATCAACAGTGCTTCTGCCATCAACACCTTTGTTTATAGATGTTGGAGCTTTGCCTGTTTTACAGTGTAGTTTTGTTTCTCTGACTGTGACTAACTGTATGTGATCTCTTTCATACTCTGACATTGGAGCGGGCTTGGAAGCTGTCTAGTTGCTGGCAGTGTGTTTCCTGGAGGGGAAGCCTGTGGAGCTGGTTGACAGTTGTCTTTTGCATCTCTGCTTCTTTTTCTATATCTGCGTCTTTCTCTTTGAACCCCAGTTGGCCCAATGTGAACCAGGTTCACACTAAGCCTGGTTGTGCAGGGGGTTTCCTCCTGTTAAAAGGGAGTTTTTCCTCTCCACTGTCACTACAAGCACGCTTGGTGTGAGGGATTACCTTCAAGTCAATGAGTATATACAATCAGCTGGTTTTCATTAGATAGAAAACTTTGAACCAATCAGACGATATGATCTGGTTGAATCTACTCTGTAAAGTGCCTTGAGATGACATGTGTGGCGAAGCAGTGCTTTAAAAATAAATTTAATTTAATTGAACTTCTAAAGCATCTTTGCTTTTTGTCACATTAAAAACTAAGATCTTAATATGAACCAAGATATGCGACAGGAAATAAAAGTAGTATACAACGGAAAAGAGATTTTTGAAAATAAATTTCCCCACAGCATCATGCTGCCACCACCTTCCGCATTTTTTTTTTTTACACAACTTTTTTGCTACAAATACATTTTTATTCTATTTGTTCATTTCTATTCATCCCACTTTCCTCTGAATCACCCTAAATTTTTATATACCTTTATCATACTCATCATGTTGCAGAGATTTATGGGCTAAAAATTCAGTCTTGAAGTGTGATTGAGTGGCTATAATATTGTGATTTTTATTTTCTTCTCTAATAAACTTGTAAATATGAAGAATGGTCTTAAGGTCAGAAATGTGCCACCTTTTGGAAAACACTAAATGGGTTTGGAGGAGTTATTACCTTGAACATGTGAGGCAGCTCTCTTTGGGTCTTCACAACTAAAGAAAGGAGGAGAAAAAAACTCTGATCTTGCATGTTTTTACCTGCAGAGCATCATAACATCCCACATGGCATCACTCAGCATCTTTAAACACAGGTAAGTTTTACTCCACCCATGCAGGGGATGAGCCCTGCTGAAGGCGTGATTTGATGCTCGCCTCCTCTTTACAGCCTCATTAGAAACAAATGTGCATCCTGTTTTGACTGACTCTATGGCTGTTAATTTGTTAAACTTACTCTGTGCCTTGAAGGCTGTCTCCTGTCAGTCCCTCTCCTGCTTCCACCTGACCCGCAGCATCTGCTCCTTTCCTCCGCCTGGAGCTGGAAACTTTCCTCCGCTTGGCCGCGCTGCTGTCCGGACTCGGTTCGTCTTCCTCCTCGTCGCTTTTCGAGTCCTTCAGCCAGGCTGGTACCGCCCTGGTGGACCGGTCCCTTAGAACCCGCCCGGAGGCGCTCGAAGCAGCTCCGTTAACCTCCGCCGCAGAAGAGGAAACACCGGACCTAGGTCGACCTGCTCCCCGATCTCTGAGCGCCCTTCTCTGGGTACCGATCGTACTGGAGGCCGGGGTCTCCTTCGCGGCCCTGTCCTCTTTCGGCTCTTCGTCTTTATTTACATCCCCGGTTCTGTTGCCAGCTGGTTCCATCACCGCAACGGGAATATATCCTACCTTCAATTCCCCCTGAAGTCAAGCAGGTTTACACGCAAAGTGATAAATAACTAAGGACGTCTGCTATAAAGACGTTTTGACTGCAAGCGGCCCTTATCCAACACCGATGCATTTTCAATTGGATTCCCCGCAAATTAAATACATACATTTATTCATTAGAAACTAAAACTTTTGTTAATTATCTATTCAGCTATAAACCAATACAGTTTTAAAGAAGCAGACACTATTTTCTTATTCTTAAAGCTATAGTAAACCTACTTATTCGCACAGGCCCAGAGCACAGCCATTTTGTGCGCTTTGATGCGTCTCCTTTAAGCCAAATATAAACTGAAGCTGTGTTCAAGAACGACAGCGCGTTTTAGCAGCTCTCAAACTCATCTGGATTCGCTCATAGGCCTTATGACTCCACAGCGGAGTTTAGCTGGTTTGTTTACAAATCTACAAACGCGACAGTAAGCTAAGGAAAAGCTGCGCGCGCGCATTGATAGCTGTTTCTAGGGAATCACGGGAACTGTAGTTAAACGTAAAACCAATCCGCATACATATTGCATTTTCTGTTTTGTGCTTTTAGAGTTCTTGTTTACCAAATGCATTTTATTCAATCATAATTTCATACAATAACAAGATATACCATGGATGTTGAGGATTTTTTTTTCTCCTATTTTTCAAAAAAAAAATATTATTTTAGCCTAATTGGAATATATACTTTATTTTTTTTTTGGTTTCACAATAGATTTTTCAAAAGACTGCCTAATAATATATGACATGCTTTTAAGTGCAAGTAGCATGCTGAATTTATGTTTACATAAAGCTAAGAGGTATTTCATGTGTATTTGTTATCTGCAGTGCTTAATAGCACTAACATGGCTGCCACTGAAAACCTGCACTGGCTGGTCTGAACCATGGCTTTTATGATGAGTATTTACCACCAGGTGGCAGCATTATAAAATATTAATGTACTGTATTAGTTATGAAAAAATAATATCTACTTTTGTGGTTTAAGTTCCTCATTAATTTGTCATATAAAGCTTTTTATAATTACTTTGCTATTGCTTGGATAACACTGAAATAACACCTCAGATATTTTAGTTTTATTTTAAACAAAATAAGATGAAGATAGAAGCTTAAATGCTCAAACTAAGAAATTCTTATTTCAATTCAGTTTCAGTTCAGTTTATTTCTATAGTGCCAATTCACAACACATGCCATCTGAAGGCCCTTTACAATTTACCAGATCATACAGTCAAATTGGTTCAAAGTTTTCTATCTAAGGAAAACCAGTTGATTGCATCGACTCATTGACTCAAATGCAATCCCTCACACTAAGCATGCTTTCAGCGGAGGTGGAGAGGAAAAACTCCCTTTTTCTAACCAGCAACATGCGATCTTTGAAAGTGGTTATTCTTTCGTCTTCCACTACATATAAGCCTGTTTGGGGGTTATATAAGAATGTTATTCTCTCTGCTTCTTTTCATTCAGGAGTTAAGAAGGTTTTGTTTATATGCACCCACCTATAAGATAGTTTTAAAGGCTAGTAAACGATTAACCCAGACAGTGACTGTATGGTCTAAAGACCGTATAGAGACACTGAAAGGCTCATTTCTCTGTACAGACTTGAACATTTTTCATGATTTGGGTATTGATAAAGCCGCTGACACTGTCACAGAGAATATTTAGTTCTGTGTGGATTTTATGGCCATCAAAAGATTATAACAATCTATCCTAACAATAAGCCATACATCACCAGATAGTTAAAGGATTGTATAAAAAAGGCTTTTAGTAATCATTATAGGGTTTAAATCAGTTCAAAGGGAGCTTGATCAGTCATTAAAGGAGGCAATAAGGAAACAAAGGGATGTCATAGAACAGAATTTAGCTTCTATGAATCATAAAAAACTCTGGGCTTCCATGAGAGCTGTTACAAACATGACAACAAATAGATAAAACCTCATGACATATGATGAGCTGAGTAAAGCAAACAAACTTAATGATTTTTTTCTCAGGTTTGATACACAGGATTATTCTTTGGATTGCAATAAGCTTTTACTGTCAATTACAACTGACCCCTGTTCAAGGTTAGTAAGGTTAGTAGTTAATCCCCTTACAATGCAGTCACTTTTCAGCCATGTATGTAAAAAATCTGCAGGCCGGAATGACATCCCCGGTTTTCTCCTGAAGACCTTTGCTGCAGAGCTAACCCCAGCATGATGCCCTGTGTTTCAGAGGTCGGTAGATTTCCATCTGGATCCTTCCCCTTTGGAAAAAAAATCTACCAATATTCCCATTCCCAAGAAACCACGTCCTATAGAAAACAACGATTATAGACCATGGCTTTAACTTCTGTTGTTACGAAATGGTATCCATATTGGAATCTGAAGTCGACCCCAAACTGGACCCAGTCCAGTTTGCTGATAGGCAGGAGAAGAGTACAGACGATGCAATTCATAGCATCACCCACCTGACACTTAAGCATCTGGAAGAACCCAAGGCCTATGCATTCCTTTTGTTTATTGATTTTAGTTGAACTCATTACAGCCTCATCTGCTCTTACAAGTGCAATAATCAAAGTCAACTACTGTGTAGTCTGTATAATTTTCACTTATTTATATGGTTAGTACATCTCTGCAGTGCAAGTGCAATAACCCAAGTCAACTACATTGTAGTCTTCCCTTAGCTCTCTACTGTGCAGATATTTTGATATCTAAGGGAAACATATTCCAGGACAGTAAAACTTTTTTCTTTTTAATTTTATACTTTTTTGTACTATTGCACTTGTTTTATATTGTCTGTTGTATTTTTATCTTTAATGGCATCTTGCTTTAACTCTATGTCCCCTTAATAAGCTCCTGGAACCAGAATTTCCCTGAAGGAGTAATACCAAGAGATAAATAAAGTTGAGTCTAAGTTTAAGCAGTGCTGCACGGTTAGATACAAGAAACTACAGAGGAATCCGACTATCATCCAGACGCACCTCTGGTTGAACCAAGCAGATTTATTTTTTAAACATTTCAGTTTTGCTGCTTTGCTTTTTAAGATGTAATAATTTTTGTTATGGGCTGACAGTTTCACCATTGGACCAGAGTGCTTTTAGACAAACTGAAGAGGGCTATTTTTTCTGCACTTCACAACCCAAAAGGGATTCACTGAACAATACAGCAGAAGTCTGTAATGTTTTCTTTCCCCTATGCTTTTATTGTGAAGCCCAATCGCGAGATTCTGACGGGAAATGCTATGGCTTTGTCAGGGATAACAACGGATCAAAATTGAAGGATCTGTGAGGCTGATGAACTACTAAATATTGGGAAACAATCATTCCACCCACTAATTAAGATAATACACCCTCTGTTATATTTATTGCCAGCACATGAATACCATATTGTTATGTAATACGTCTATATTTGGAAACAAGCACATCACTAACGTTTGTTGGGATGCTGACATCATTAGCCAAAAATTAAAAAACGATTTTATCTTAAAAACCAAATAAACACGAGCAATAGTTTTACCTGCACAAATCTGCACCAAAGTAGCACAAAAAAATGGGGGAATGGTTGACATCTGAATGACCTAAAAAATTATCTTCATTATCTAAAAAATTAAATTATCTATATTTAATTATAAATTATATATAGAATTATATATAATTCTATATATAATTATAAACAATAATTTATATATATTATTTCTTTAGATAATGAATAAAAATTATCTAAAACATAAGTAGTACAAATTTTTTTGTTCTTTTTGTAACAAAAGATGATTTTAACTGCACAAACATGTACTCACAAAGTACTAACAATTCAGTCTATTTGCAGAGTTTTGTTTAAGTGGATGGGTTATCGGCTTCATGCAGCTCAAGCTCTTCCTATTTGATGATTCGGTCTGATTTGTAAACACCTTGCATCTGAAATGCACAGTGGTGAACTCTAAGAACTGCTTCCTGAAATTACAGCAGAAACCACATTCGGTCTAATTGCAACTTTAGATTTGCAAGCTTCCTCCTTTCTCTTCCAAATGTAAAGATGGTCCTTATGAGTCAAACATTTCGATGATTTTACCATTTAAGGCTTTATATGTGATAAGGAGGATTTTAAATTCTATTCTTGATTTAACAGGAGGCCAATGTCGAGAAGCCAGGATAGGAGAGATATGATCTCTCTTTAATTTTCATCAGAACATTTTGGATCAGCTGAAGGCATTTTAACTACAGTTTGTGGACTTCCTGATACTAAAGAATTACAATAGTCCAGCATTGAAGTAACAAATGCATGGACTAATTTCTCTGCATCACCCCTGGTCAGTATATTTCTCCTTTTTGCAATATTCTGCAGATAAAAGTAGGAAATTCTAGAAACTCTTTTGTATGGGATTTAGATGACAGGTCCTGATCAAAAATAGCACCAAGATTTTTTTTACTTTATTATCTGAAATGAGTTTAATCCCATTTAAATGAAGTGACTGACTAATCAGCTTCTTTTTTATAGACTCTGGTCCAAAGATGATAATAAGTAGAAAGTTTATAGACTCTGGTCCAAAGATGATAATAAGTAGAAAGTTAAGAGTCATCCAGGTTTTTATGTCTTCAGACATGCCTGGAATCTACGTGACGGGTTAGCTTCATCTGGATTTATAGACAGGTATAGTTGGGTATCATTAGCATAACAATATAAATTAATCCCATGCTGTCTAATAATTCTACCGATTGGGAGCATATATATAGTAAAGAGAATTGGTCCAAGTAGTGATCCCTGTGGTACTCCACAGGTAACCTTTGAGCATGAGGAAGATTTTTCATTACATGAACAAACGGAAATTGATCAGATGAATAAGATTCAAACCAGTCTAGTGCTGTGCCTTTAATTCCTACAAAATATTCATAACTGTATCAAATGCAGCACTGAGATCTAGTAAAGATATAAGTCCATTATCTGAGGCCATGAGAATATCTTGGGCGACCTTTACCAGAGCTGTTTCAGTGCTATGATAAGCTCTAAAGCCAGACTGAAACTCTACAATTGTTAGGTTCAAATTAATTTTAATTTGGATATAAGATCCTTAGGAGTTTCATCTATCATTTTCAGCATTTTTTTTTATTTAAACATATTCCCTTGGCATGTTTGGGAGGTCTGGGAATTGTACAAGAGATGATTTTTTTTCCCATTGATTTTATCATCATGTTACACAAGGAAAAGGTTATTTTGAGACAATTCCTTGAATTAATCTATGGTTTCATCTTGATTTTATTAGTTTTTTGATGTAGCGCCAATTCACCACACATGTCATCTCAAGACACTTTACATAGACAATTCAGACAGATCATATCGTCTTATTGGTTTTCTATCTAAGGAAAACCAGCTGATTGCATCGACTCATTGACTCAAAAGTCCCTCACACCAAGCATGCTTGTAGCGACAGTGGAGAGGAA